ATATATATCTATAAAAAACTAACTACTTTAAAAGATACGCTGAAATGTTTAAAAAATTAAAAAGCTTAAAAAGGTAGTAGCGTTCTCATAAAAATTGGATATCTAATTGGATATTTTATTCATGCTTTAGGAGACCGATAGGAACGCTATTATTTACACCAGAGGCTGCATAGAAGCAGTGAAGGAGTTTTTCAAGGAGAACATGATTATAATTGGTGGGATTGCAGTTGGCCTGGCTTTGATGCAGGTGACTTTATTGAAATCATAATTTAGTTAACTGGCTTTTAAAGGGTTTGTAACACCATGCCAGTCAACAACATTTTACTGTTTGTGATAGGCATCCTATATGATTCTTGTAGATGTAGCAAAAATCACATTCAACTGCTGCTTGACTTACAAGTTGGTCTTACTGTGCGCCCCCTCCCCCTCCTTCTAAAAAATCTTATTTAATCATATGATACAAACACTGTCTTGTTTTCACAGTCTTGCAGTTTGTGTAGGTGAATATTTCAACACCAAAAATGCTTACACTTTTGGTTGAAAATCATACATTCTAACTCAAGGCTGTGCTCTAGAAGAACACGGGTGCCACAGGCAACAAACTTTTGCCTTTGGATGAATATTTTTTTTCCTATAGGCATGCTGGGCACCCAGGATTTCATGGTTAATAGGAACCTTCGGGCTCATCATAATTTTTCTTAGAACACAGCCTTGTTAACTTGAAACTTCATTAACAGGCCCAGTTTTTCCTTTTTGTTTAAATTAAATCAATAATTTTTTTCCTTTTAATTACAGATCATGGGCATTTGTTTTGCAAACAGCCTTACAGCAGACATCAAGATGCAGATGGCGAGATGGGAACGGGACTACTATTGAAAGTGTTTGCTTTTTAAGTCCATCAGTAGATGTAGTATATTTCAAAGCAGTAAAGGTTTTTATACATTTTATAATGATATCAGCTATAACAAATAGAACCCATGTGCTCTGCATACAGAAACTGATCATTATGGATATATTTGCACCCAATCCTACAATGCACTGGTTGATAAACATAATTATTGTATTTATTAACTAATGTATTCATAACGCATTTCCATCTCTTAATTTTACAGTAACATATTAATGAGAATGTTTGGAAAGGAGATGGGACTTCAGGTTTCAGTGAAGCCCTAACCTGAAAAATGAAAGAGAAACATAAAAAAATACTCAGACCATTGACTCCCAAATTAAAAGTCCAGTTTGCAGTGTAGTTATTCTTTTTTTCCCCATTCCCCAGAAGCTTGATTTCTTTTGACACAAATAATTGAAATCAAGGTGTTAATTTGACATTAAGGTTATGGTAATGTCATCTTAGTCACTGCTGTTCTTTGTATATTTTTCTCAATTATATTGTTAATATATTCCACACATTTCAAAGTACACTTGATATTGGGCCAGTGTGGTCAAACCATGCTTTACATATACCCCAGTATTGTATTACCCAACACAGGAAAAATAATACTATTGTGCTATGCAAGGCTGTACTCTAAATGCCATGGGGCTCAATGCTTACATTTGGTCATTTGATAAGCATGTTTATCTTGTCCTCTAAAGACAAAAGTTGATCCGTAGGGAGGTCACTAGTTACACACAGTACAGCTGTGCAATACATTGCAAGATGTTGTTTGATGTGATTAGAATCTGTTGAAATCTAGATGAAATATTTTATGAGTAGCTTGGTTTGCCCTCTGTAGGTTTACAGGGTAAAGTCAGGTCTTAAGAAGATGTGTTTGATATAGGTGAACACGGGCAGCTGGGAATCGAACCTATGTTAAAAAAAGCATCAGTGCTCACCATAACTTCCCTACACAAACAGTCTTTTTAGCATATATATGCAGTCCAGAAGAGTAACCACTGCATGACAGAGCAGAAGAAGTTCTGTAAAAGAGACTAGCCCTTTGAGTGGAGAAAGGATAAGTAAAGGAAGATATTTTTAAACTACACATGGAGTGTATAAAGGTCACCAGCTGTTGCACTCCAGAGTTTGTTTTTTGTGGGGGAGCAGAGATGTTTTTTGTTAGCCGGCAGACAAATTAATATAAATTTTCCATTGATCAAGAGGTGAACTGGCTTCCCACACTTCATTGTCATTATTTTAAAGAGTTTGTAATCATCCTCAACTGCCATGCAGGCTATGTTAGTTGATATTTGGGGCCGGGCCCTTCATATAGATTATCATTGATAGCTGGTCTAATTTCAATGCACTTTTTTGTTTGTTTGTGTTCTTTGTTTCGGTTGTAGTCTCTTATTTTATTTTCTGTTCAGCAAAGATCAAGATGAGTTTCTTCCTTTGAATCATTTTTCAGAACTGAGATTAGATACCAGAATAATTTATGTTTTGGGAGAAATGGAAGAAATAACGTATATTGCTTGCAAAGAAGCTTTTCTGAGGTGAAATAAAATCAAGAAAATTGAACAAAAGTTGACTTAAAAGAGCTGCATCATCTACTTGTGAACTCTTTTCCCAGTTTCACAAGGAAGCAAAATTATATTTAGCGATAATTTTATGAGCTCTGCCCGTGCCTAAAGGCATTTTGGATTACACTTTTGTATCATTACTGAAGAGAGAGAGAGAGATTTAGGCTTGTGATTAGATGCTTGAATGTAAAAGAGTTTGTTAACTACTTGGCTTAAAGAACCACATTTTGGACATGGAGTAAACTTAAACAAAAGTCGTGTGTGGTTGTGGCAGTTTTGCACTGTGATTATACAGCTTGTTTCACGATCAAATACCCACCACTAAGATTGACAATACAAAGGCTATTTTTTCAAACTGATTATTCTGCCCTGTCAGGAGCACAGTCCCTAGTCAGTCCTCACATGGGAGGAGTTATTCCTGCCATGGGTTCGCTTCATGTTGAAAAATGTAGGAAAATTTGTGTGCAATGAGTTTAATTTCCAATGAGCGTTATTATGATGATCTATTTTGCCATTTAGATTTAAGCTCGCTGTGTAAATAAAAGATTTTTTATTGTATGTATTAAGCTTAGTGCTCTTGAATGTGTTGTTGACTGAGCTATAAGTTAGATCACTTTATAGTGTCTTGTCCGTTGCTTGACCTTCTGTCCAAGTGAAGTCTAAGGCTATGTTCACACTTGGTGCCCGAAATGCCTGAGTGCCATTCTCACTGCGCACTAATGTGAACGCACGTTTTTTCCAAGCACTGGCCCACACCAAAATTTTGGCACAGTGCCCATGCTTGGGTATAAGGTCTTGACCTTGTAGTCATACTTGGAGTGCCCAGTGTCTGAACGCAAAACTATTTTGTGGCGGTGTCCAAGCACTAGTGCTCGAGCACCAAGTGTGAACACTGCCTAAAAGCCAGAGACAAGTTGTGGCAGACTGGGATATTTTAGTCTGCAGTGCAGGGGTTTTCCATGTTATCGGTATTAGCTCGCGATCGAGTAGAGTTACCGCCATGTTTTACTCTTTTAGCGTCACTCCTACTCCCTAGGACACCTTTTCGTATTTCCCCAAGTCTCTTGTGAGTTTAAATAAAGAAATGGGCTTTGCTCGCCAAAAGACGCCCGCATTGCAGGCTAGGAATATTTGACATCTACCAAATTAAGACTTAGAGGAATCTTTCGACTGATTTATAGAGGCCACGTTAAACCAAAACTTCTTTCCTAGGGTTCTCTCTCCTCGAGAAAGAGGAAGAGACAAGACCCTGGGAACGAGGTTGTGAAACTATTTGGTGGTTCAAACTTTATGTAAGACTACGAATAATGTCCCGAGAATATGGCTGTAGCTCTAGTATACCCCTGTAAATCCTTGTATACCCCTGTAAACCCTTGTATACCCCTGTTGGGTGGTGCGCAACAACTTAAAACAAGCTTGTTTTTCCCGCGCTACTTTTATTTTCGCTTACTAGCGGAAGGGGAAGGAAATGGCAAATCCTTGCAAAGTATGTGGCAAAGAGGACGCTAAAAGATGTGGAAAATGTCACAGAGTGTTCTACTGCTCTGTTCAGTGCCAACGAAAAGATTGGAAGAGCCATAAAGAGGCATGCAACTCGAGCCTTCAAGCAACTCCAATCGCTTCAAACGAGCATGACTCCGACGAACTACCCAAGGCAGTTTTTAGTCGTCCGTTTACACTCGAAAAGTTCGTTCTTCATGTAAACAGTATCAAGGGAATGACTAAAAGCTGCGCAGAAATGTGGGTTGATTTACGAATGAAAGGTAAAATGCCCGTGGATTCGTCCCTTCCAACTTGTTTCGTGTATTTTACGAGGAAAGGTTTCGTGCGCGAGCACATGGTTTTTCTGGAAGGACCACCGCCACTACAGATGCTGCAGCAAATTATCGACCGGTTTAAAGCCCATGCTGTTAGTATTTCAGTGGAAATGAGGTATAGACATCCTCAAACGATGGATGTCATGAAGGAGGGAGTTCTACTGCAAGTCAGCGCCAAAGGATACAACAAAAAGTTCTTCTTTGATCAAAGACACGGAGGAAGGAGCGAGACTGGAGTGTTGTTATCAGTGGGCGATCCTGAGGAGAGTCATATTTCACTATTTGACAGTGCGAGCGTTAAATTTTATTGACCTTGGAGAAAAGTTTATTTTGCTTGTGAGGGGATCTCCCGCGGTCACGCTTTTCTTCAAGATATAAAGGGTCATCAAGGGGGTACTTACTGATTAGGCCATCCCAGGAGAGGGCCATGGGCCAGGGAGGAGACAATTCAAGTCAGGACACACTAGGTGACAAGTGAAACCAACAAGATGCATGGACATATCGCAGTGACATGTTGCAGAACTGTACATGCTGCAACAATAATGTTTTTATTAGTTTTCTTGCGGCAGGCATATGCATGAATTCAAAGCAGTTTGAATTTGTGGGACTTGTTTCACAAAGCAAGTTGTTGCTGTACTACTGCTGCTTGTGCTGTCTAGGTGGGTGAGATAAATCCATAGTAGTTAAGAGGCTCTGGTAGGTGGGGGTACCCATTTCCCCTGTCTGAAATTCACCACCAGCCATGTCGGCATTTCGCAAGATTCCTATGTCGCCTGTCAGAATTTCGTCTCAGAGGAGTTGTGTCAGGAAATTTGACCTTTTTCGATTAAAATGAGGCTACATGTATAACACATCGCAATACCTTTGTTTATTTAAAAAAAAACCGACACAGTGCTCTCAAGTCTCACGCATTGAGCATGAGGCTCATACAAACGAATTCAATCTTGTGCTCTCACGCTGAAACAATTATTTCTCACGCATTGAAGGTTCCTTGCTGTTTTAGTCAAGTACATTTATAATTAAGTATCTCTTTGGATATAATTTACTCCTTGTATGCTTTGCACTTGCTTTGACCACTTCAGCAGTAGGAATTCTTATGCAGAGCCAGCATTTCTCCAGTCACTGGGTTTAATGGTTACTCTATGGCTACTTTTAAAGCATCATATTTCGACTCAGAATGAAGGAAAAGACTTCTTAGCTGCTTCAATTTTTCAAAATCTTTTAAGGGGCTGGGGGCATGCTTTCTAATGGCTTGGGCATGCTTTCGAGTGCTGAAGTTGCTAACCTCCTAGGGGATGTGGGGACATGCTCCCCAAGGAACTTCTGAAATTTAGGCACTTGGAATTGCTATTTTCAGCCATACAATCGAACCTATGGCTATTTTTACCATGTTTATGTTTAACAACCGTTCTTTAACTCAAAATCTCAACAGCCTCAATCAGATAATCTCTCCTATCTATATTCCTTTGAATTTGGCATAACCCTTATCTTCTGCTATAGACAAGAAGACCTTGGCAGCTTTCCCCTGTCTCTCTTTTCCTTCCATAATGCCATTTGTTGATAATACAGCTTCATATTCTTTCACTGGTGACCCACTAATAAAAATATGAAGCAGACTGTCGAAGATCTCTTTCCTTTTTCCTTAAGCATGTTTTTAGGCATTTTAGGGCACTGCTCACTCAGCTGAGAGTGAGAAAAATACTCAGCAATGACGAACTCAATTTATTGGATGTGGACGTTTTAGCATATATAAGAAAGCCTGGGTTTCACAACCCGTCAACATTGCGCATGAGAGAGGAAAACACATTTAAAACTCTGGAAATGCGTCTTCACTTCGACTCAGATGTTTAAAACAATCTGCATTCTCGGTTCCGAAATTCGTTGTCGGTCTATCTTGCCATTGGTGTCGCTTTCTCTATTTCACTGGAGTAGTCTGTCGTTCGTCACCAATTCATAGCTCTCATGTCGCCTTTCCAAGGCCATGTCGCTTGTCGGAATTTACCCCTAACAGGGTCTCAGTTATCAAATTTAAATTAGCCACCACTGTTAAACAGATGGAAAAGTAACAGCATTTCAAGCATTTTATCAGGTCATTTCCAACTGGGGTCCTTTATATGGCTTATACATGTGAGTGCCTCCCCCCCACACACACACACTTTGACAGATATGAACTCACCCACTAATAAGGTCACCAAAACCCTATAACAAGTTATGTATCTTTGCAATGTCAGTTAATAGGGTGGGGGAACAAAAGTTAGTTCAGATTAAGTTGTATTAGTTACAGAATGTAAGCCTGCTGTAAAGGAAACTTAAGCAATTATCTCGTACTCAAATTATTGCCCAAGTACCTTGGAAGAAGAGGGTCCTAAATTGGGGTGTATAAATTCCATTTTCCAGCCCAAATTTTGCCCAAGTCCTATTTCCCAGCCTAATATTTGTGCAAATCCCAGTCCCATTTTTTGTTTTTGTAATTCCCAGTCCCAGTGACCCAAATCCCAGGTTTTATTTTACACCTTCAGGCCCCTTGAAGAAGCAATGACTGGCAATGGCAATGGCACAACTAGCTCACTCACTTTAATCACTAGATCACAACTGGTCAGAAATCTTACCTGTTCTCTGATTGCATCATAGAGATCCAATTACTACACAACATAAACAAACATGTGACTTGGTTATGTAACAGCAAAAGAATGATTAAGAATAATGGTTGTGCCTTATTTTCTTGATTAGATGCTGGACTACAAAGAAATGCTGGATTGAAATTGCATCCACAGGGCTAGGTTAAAATGTCTATTTCCAACAATCTTGTTTTTAGGGGTGGGGGTTGAAAGTGTTTTCCTCACAACAATATTTAGGAGAGACAGTGAACAGATGTCCAGTCTGTATGAGAACAACTGAAACTTGATGTACTCTCGGGAAACTCTCAATATTATTAACAGCAGGCTGTCTAATCAAGAATATAGTGTGGTTTAAGGATGAGCATGTTAACATGTGCACAGCATTTATGATTGCTTACAACTGTCACTCATAACATCAAGGGCCTATCAAACATTTTTTGTGGTAGCAGCTGTTACATGTTAGTTACGGCCCTTATTGACAGCCCTGCTATCAGCCTCCAGAGAGGTACCGTATTTGCATAGGTTGGTGTAGGTATGTGAGGAAGGAAAGGAAAGGGAGAAATAGGGAAACAAATCCTGTGGGTTAATTTTAACCACTGATGAAAATTATGAAAACTGGTTAACTTAAGCTAATATATTTAGTGATTGGCCAGTCTTGCATTACCTCGCAAATGATGATGATTATTAAATAATGAATCAATAATCTTCATACATATTTTTAAGTCAATTTGTACTTGCACTCAGCCTGGCACCTAAAAAGTGGCTCCTTGATATTAGGCAAGGTTAGGCAAAATTAGGCTTGATTACCATCCACTCTTTTAAGAAATTGAGCCCGTGGGAAACAGACCGGAGGGAGCCACAGAAATTGGACTTGGGTCAAAATATGTTGTGAAATGAGTATTTTGTGGTTGTAATCTTTATCTAGTTTTTATTGTAAGTTTTAGGCCATTGTACATTCTTATACTTTTTAGTTTTTAATTGTTTTATAGCTCACTTTTGTTATGCAGAAGTGATCATACATTCATGTAACTTGTGCAATATAAATGTAAATTATTATTATTATTATTATTATTATTATTATTATTATTATTAAGGAAAGCTTCTTGGAGCTGAGCTTATGATCCTCTCTTATGTTCATGAAGCTAGATTGTCCTGCTATGTACTGTGTTTTTGATATTATTGTTATTTGTCAAGTGAGAAACTACAGAATATATCACAGAGCGTAGTGTGACTTCCCAAAATAGAATGTGTTCTTAGGACTATTTGAACTCTTGTTGCATTTACAAGTAATGACTTGGTAATTATCTGGAGAGAAAGAAATAGTCAGAGGGAATTCTCTCAAAGACCGCGGAGCTTTCTCTAACCAGATCCAAGAGAGCTTGTTAACTAGTTTATTTTACTGTGTTGTATTATTTTTTTTCCATTGCATGTACATAGCTAATTAATAGGAGAGGCTTTTTTATCAGGCAAGGTTAAACTGAATATACCTGAGCTCACAAATTCATAATCATTCGTGCTTCATACTAGATTTTGATAGGCCTTAATGTACATGTATCTGTTGATAAAGTGATGTAAACATGTTTAAATTCTCATTGTATTAGAGCTGAACGTACTATATTTACCACTTTGTTGACGTCACTTGTTGATATTATTGTTAAGTGATCATATCATTATGAACGTTGTCGATTCTCATCATAGATATTTTTGTCACAAGACAGTTTTCAACTGTTTTTCTTTTGTTTATTGAACCCCGCCTTATGGCCGCCCCGTTAATACAGCCACCTCATTATTACAGTGAGCCACTTTGTTCTGGTCCGAAAAAAACCTCATTCAGTCATTTTCCTATTTAAAGAACCACTTAATACGACTACCCGGTTAATACGGCCAGATTTTTGTGGCCCCTTGGTGACCGGATTAACGTGGTTCCACTGTACTGTAATTTTAATATTAAAAACTGAACTTGACGCGGGTTATATGAAGAGGGGAAATCCGTGTTACGCACATGCCTAAATTGAATTCCTTGACCAACAAAAACCCTGCTGTGCTGTATGAGCTCACATCAAACATTTTACTTTTTCACTGCTAAACATAAAAAGACAGAGAACATGCTCTACACCCAAATAAGACCCAGTAATACGCGACAGAAAGACTGCAGTGCTCAAGTGCGATATAGACCATGAAATATTTGTCTCCAGTATGACTGCACGGCATAAATACGGATAAACACATCTTGTGATAAGAGTGTTACTTCTATTACCGGATCAGCTGAGCATCTTCATGGGGAACGGAAAAAAAGAAGTACAACTTCCGAGATTTAAGCCAATCAGTTTCAAGTGCAATACAGTGTTTCAGCTTGAAAAAAAAAGACAGCATTGTCAGTTTAAGGATCACTCTTCTATTCTTAGTACGATTTCAAAAAACCCTATTTCAGTTCTTAACTCTTCGAACATTTGACTTGTTTTGTAACTTTCTCATTAGTATCATGATCACGGGGATTTTGACCTAACTACGTCAAAATTGTGCTTTAATACCTTCACTTAGAGACAAACTGCTACAAGAAAACCAAAAGAAGAGACCTGAAGAAACCATGATTATTTGTAGCCGGCACATCATTTTTGGGGAAAAATGCAAGAATTTTAACATTCGCTTAAGATTTTTCATGTTGCTTCCTCTGACATAGGCCATCTATGGTCGGAGACATTCGGCAACAATTTTAATACCGGCTCTACCGTCCCACTCTCTTAAGAAAATGAGCCCGCGGGAAACAGATCCGAGAGAGTCACAGAAACTGGACTTAGGTCAAAATATGTTGTAAAATGAATGTATTTTGTGATTGTAAGGAAAGACTCTAAGAACTCAGATTAAAATTTGCGAATGTAGTGTGACTTACCAAAATAGAAAGTGTTGTTAGAACGTTTTAAAGTGTTGTTGAATTTACAAGTAATTATCAGGAAAGAAAGACTGAAATAGTTGGGAGTTCTCCCGGAGCTTTCTGTAGCCAACCTAAGAGAGCTTTTTGATTTAATTTTTGTTTATTTTGTATTGTGCTTTTGGCCATTGCATGTACATAAGCTAACTAACAGTTAATAGGAGAGGCTTCTTTTCAATCAGGCAAGGTTAAAATATACCTGGACCCAGAAATTCATAATCATTTGGGCTTCATACTAGATGATTTTGATAGGCATTTATTATCTGTTGATAAAATGTTGCAGATGTATTTTCGAACTATTAGAGCTGAACGCAATATATTTACCACTTAGTTGATGACACTTGTTGATATTATTGTTAAGTGATCAGATGAACGTTGTCAATTCTCAACATCAATATTTCTGTCATAAGACAGTTTTCAACTGTTTTTTTTTTCATTTACTGTAATTAGTTTTTGTTAAAAACGTGACGGGGTTCATGTGAATTATGAAGAGGAGAAATCCGTGTTAAGCCGACGCACATGCCTAAATTGAGTTGACTTCCTTGGCCAACAAAAACCTGCAGTGCTATATTAGCTCACATTAAACATGTTATTTGTTCAAAAAGGAAACATGTAGTTATATTGATCAGTGCACCAAGTGAAGAGTTAGAAGAGCTTTATTCACCGTCCTCGCCCACAAAAATAAATCACTGTTTAAAAGCTGCGGCTGGGTTGTTCGAATGCCTGTTAACGCTAATCCAGGATAACGTTAACCGAAGTAGAAATTTTTCTTACATAAAAGTGTTTTTGACTCCTTATGTTTTGTGCAGTTTGAGATTATTCCAACTCAAAACAGAAAGACAAACAATATAAGCTGAGAAGCTCACCGAAACGTCATAAACTGAAAACAAAATTCTCGCTAATCCTGGGTTAGCCCGGCCCTGGTTTCCCGAGCTTAGCTTCTGCAGTGGTTTGTCTGGTTTCGGCAAGTTCCTGGGCTGAATGCACTGGTAAACATAAAAAAAAGATGGAGAAAATACTCTGCCCCCAAACAAGACCCAATAGTACGCGACAGAAAATCTGTAGTGCTCCAGTCCGATATAGAGCATCAAATGTTTCTCCTTAGCATGACGGATTCAAACAACTTGTGATAAGAGTGTCACTACTAAAACCGGAACAACTGAGCACCTGTACACTCACCTGCATGGGAAACGGAAAGAAAGAAGAACAACTTCCTTGATTTAAGCCAATCAGTTTCAAGTGCAATACAGTGTTTCAGTTTGGATATTAAGGTTACATCTGGAAGTTCCCTTTCCTGCTCCGCAATATAAAAATATCACTGGTTTCATAGCCTAAAGTGGCGCCGATTGCACGGTAGTTAGACTGTAAGAGAATTGCGTTAATTATTATATCATCATTGTTAGCTATTTGTTGGTTTACCTAATAATTAGTAAAAACAGCTCTTAGGACGTGAAGCGAAAGCGAGCTACTGAACAATCAATTGTTACAAACCTGTGTATCGGTACACGTACAATACCCGAGGGTTACTGCTTCATTTGAAGGCGGTTCCAGTTATAGAAAGAGAAAAAAAAGACAGCTTTGTCAGTTTAAGGATCACTCTTCTATTCTTAGTACGATTTCGAAACCCTCGGAAACGAACCTATATACACAGGAAAACTTGAGAATAATAACTTCAATACTATGCGGAGTATTTGAGCATATTAGCAAATGAAGACGACAAAAGGATGGCACATTCCGGTGTTTTTTTTTTAATTTTTTTATTTTACCATTTCAGTCGCTGTTTGAAAACGCAGTATTGTGTGGCCCCAAATAAGGTGTTTGTTTTGAGAGTTCGATATTTAGTCTTTCATATTTAAAGCCTGTAGACTTAAAAGAAATATTCGGAAGAAGATTCTGCTGATGAAAGGGTGCACTGCTGCTTTTCAGTGGATGTACCAGTGATGAGTTCGCGGGTTAACTGCCTGCCCGGGGGATTTTGAAAATATTTCAATTTGCTAATCTAGGAATTCAACGAATACTTCTCAAAGAAAAATGAATAATGAATATCAACTGGAAATAGAGATTTAATACTCTTAGATAATTACTCATTCAGCTAAGAATAATGAATAGTGTGCATAAAGTACTCATTCAGCCCGAAACGTCCAGAAAATACAAACACCCTCAAAACAACGTATCTTATCTTAGTCAAAAACTCAAGAAGCGAATGCAAATCAAGTCACCGCAATTAACTTTGGATTGTCAGGTTTAACTAAATGAAGGGCAGTTTAGTAACCACAAAGTGGTACTTCACTGCAACGATTGCAGTCAGTGACGGACAAACTCTTGTAAGGCAAGATCTCCGTTCTGAATATAAATGAACATCGCTGCACTGTCTTGAAACATTTCTCATGGTAGTTTCACTATTTTGAAGAGGACGTTCCCTGTTTGTTAACTGATTGAGCATTTGTGACTTGTTTCGTATAACTTTCAGATTTTGACATAGGTCAAAATTATGCCATAACACTGACCTTCACTTAGTTACAAAATGCTACTAGAAAACCAACTGAAGGACGTCAACTTAGAGATGAAGAAATCATGATTTGTTTTAGCACATTTTTGGGGAAAAATGCGAGAATTAACTTGAATTACATTAGCCTGAGATTTTTCAAGTTGTAATCCATTCTGACACAGTCTATCTATGCATGGTCGGAGACACTCAGAAACAATCTGATGGCTCTAGGGTGGGGTTTTTATACAAAGTTGAGCCATTGCTTTCATCTGTGTTCATGTTTTAAATACTTTAGTTATAGTTGATACAAGCTATGTACCTATCGCTTTTACCGTATAAGCTGAACACATAAATTATAAGTTCCGGTCAGGCTTAGTTACGGCAGTAAAAGTTGGAAATCGCTTCTTTCCTCTCCCTTTTTTTTTTCTTTTTTTACAAAAATGATAAGTTTCTTGTTGTTTTTCGTAAGGATTAATTTGGTGTTTCGATCTAGGCGAGGCACAAAAATGCGGACGCACATCTATCATACAACCAGGCTTTTCCAGGGGAGGGGCGGGGGGCTGTTTCCTTGGGGTTCCAGAATTAACAGGGCATGGCCTCAAAATGTTGAAATTTGAGAATTGGAACCTAATTAAAAACTACTATAACAAAAAAACTAGCGATTTCACAAGTAGAACTTGCAACGAGGTGTCTGTCCAGAGTGTTTTCCTTTATTCCTGCCCTAAAATTCACAACCTTTTGTTTCTGCTTCTCCAAAGTGAACGTTTCTAGCAACCCAATTCACCCTCCTAAATTCGCCACTGTGAATGCCTTGGTGGTCATTTATCTCTATAATGATTCCCATATCAGACGGGAAGTTATCGATGCAGAGAAAGAATGAAAAACACTTAAGGGTCAGAAGACTATAGTGGTCGACTACGTAGGCAGGTCGTCTAGTAGTTTTATAAATAAACTCGTTTTGATTTCGAGGAATAACACGTACTCATTTTCACATTATTTCATACCGCCTCCAAAAAAACACCAGGAAAAACAGTAAATTAAAGTAGACAAATTTGTATTATAGAGTTTTTAAACAGTGAAATTCCGGTCAATTCCTCCAGCTCAACCGAGCATAGAAACGACCTTTCCTACCAGGCGAACTGCACGCGAGCCACTGTCTAATAATGTCTATATTAACATATGAATCAAGTGCTTATCAGAATAGATCACAAGGGACGTCATGCGAAGCCCTAACTGAATATCCGACCCCAAGGTGGTATACTTGATTGATGACTCGATATTGAGGTTTGCAAAAATCAAAATAAGTCGGTAATAAACTGCGTGATTCTGCAATTTTTCAGCAGTGAGATGTGATCGCATTGCGGAACACAATTTCCTTTGTCCAAGAAACAGCAATGTGGTACTGGATCTTAGCATGGTTCTTAACCATTGTCACAACTATTGGAAACGGACTTGTGATTTACTTAATCTTCACCATTCGTCGATTGCAAACTGTAGCCAACTGGTCTGTACTGTCTCTGGCCGTAGCTGATCTGTTCGTTGGACTGACCTTCTTCCCTCTTCAATTCGCTTTGAACATAGACCAGTTGAATGACCCTCCCAAGAGCCTTAGGCCGTTTTTCTTGGTCTCCCGCACGTTTCTTTACTTCTCGGCCGCAAACCTTTTCGTAATGATCTTGGATCGCTACGTTGCTATCGTTCATCCGCTGAGATATCTCTCGTTTATGACTTCAAGAGTGATTAAAATTGCCATTGCCCTGGCGTGGATTTCACCAATCCTGCTGTTTACTGTGCCATATTTTCTGGAAAATAAAAGCGAACTCCTCCTGATTTTCAGGGTCGGCATTTTCCAAGTTGTTCCCATCCTAGTATTTATTTTTGTCGCAGCTCGAATATTCTTTATCATGCGGAGGATTTCGAAGAGGACGTCAAGGATTTTTGCTCAACTTCGTTTCAACCACGACGCGCCCAAGACATCTTCCTCTGTAACTGAGTCTACCCTTGATAGCAGAGCAGCCGCCAAAATGACAGTGGCAATTGTGTTTTTCTTCATCGTTTGTTACGTCTTCGAGAACTACAAATGTTTCTGCTATGTGTTCGATATGTGCAGGCCAACTGCAACTCTTGTAGAAGCAGTTGACATTCTCTTTGTTATTAATTCGGCCGCCAATCCGATAGCATACGCTTTCCTCAAGAGAGATGTAAAACTTGTCTTACAGCGTATGCTGGTGAGTCGTAAAATACACGTCCAAAGTGGAGCAGAAATGTCCAGTGCATCAGGGCAAGAAACGAAACGTTCGGTTGAATCCTTGTGATTGTAGTTGCTTCTATTGTATTTGGACAGAGCTAAGATTTGACAGTTTTGTGTCCGACTTGCAACTTAAATTGTTGCAATGAGAGCCTTACTGCCGTGCAACGACCTGTAATTTTGTAGTGGACAATATATTTTGAAATTAATCTTTAATTTATGACTTGTGATAAGAGACGATGATCTATCGTATCTTGATTGTACATAATAGTTTGAAAAATTCAATTGAAAAAGGAACTGAAGAGATCAAGGGTGCTTCAAGCTGTATATACTCATTCGACAATCCCTGCGGGACAAATAAACACTGGCTTGTAATCATTTGTCTTCAGAAGGTGCATTCACACTTTAAATTAGGTTTTGCTTTAAACTACAGTGCAATAGCTAATCGGCAAAAATAATTTCTTCTCAGCCAATCAGATTTGTTAATCCATCGCTACCTAATTTTCCCGCGCTTTCCATAGAACATGTATCCCTTCGCTTTTTGCCTTAAAAAACGATAGATCAGTTGAACAGTTGTAGTTACAACGGGCATTGAGAAAACATGTCTATCTTCGCCTTATCAATAAAAACAGTCTTGAAGAATTCGTGATATTGGTTCGTGAGGTTATTTTGCAGACGCTAGTCTGAATGTGATATATCGGACTGACAGTGCACGTAACCACTGTTCAAACGAGTACTCAACTGAACTTTTTTGAAACATCTTGCTTTCTTCTTCGCAATTGCAACACAAGTCTATGGCAAATTCACTCCCGGCTAAAGATATAAACTTATACAGCGTCCACACTACGCCGGAGAAATTTGAAAACGCAGGTTTATTTCTACGGTTGGTCCACAACAATCCGTCACGAAAACGGAACTTTTCGAGAACGGTCAACGAACTGGAAGAATTCTGAAACACTGGCTTTTCGTTTTCTTGTAGACTGAGAACATTTTGAAGACGGAGCTTTTCGAAAAAGGTGGCATCACGATAATCATGAGATTTTCCTCAAACACACCGGTGATTGTTACGCTTTTAAATTTCTCCGGCATAGTGTGGAGGGAAAACTTTTGGTGTGTTTTCAATGTGAAACCTCCGTTTTTAAATTCCTCCGCGTAGTGTGGACGGGGCCTAACTAAAGTAATTCACCCATACCGATATCGAGTTCCCTGTTTGAGCCTGTTCTCTCACGACAGTCCTGATCGAACCAAAAGCTTAAACGCGCTCAAATCAAAAACTTTTACTGGTTAAAAATAATTTATTAGTTATATTTCTGAGGACATGAATGATAATGAAACCAAATTTAGCACACAGCTAGGTTTTAACGTCCTGGACATTTTAAAGTGGAAGTGGTGCTGCTGCCAGGTCACGTGACCTGTCACGTGACGTTGGGCACGTTTTTCGCGCGATTAGCGCGTACAAAACGTAAGAGATTTCCCTCAAACTAAGCTCGATGGTGAAATAAATGCTCCTTTTCTCCTAAACGAGCACGGTGACCCCTGATTTTTTTTTCAGGTATTTGTTAAGAACAGTCTAATAGAAAAGATATTTCAAGAAGAAAATAAGTTTGATAGGAGAACATGATTATTTTTTTGGAAAATAGTTCCGAACTGGGTGTATTTTGGCCAAGGCGAGGCAAGCTAATCACGGAACTGTCCGAAAAAGTGCAATATTCCTACAACCGGGCAATCAAAAACGGCTTAAATGAAGCAATACTGCTGATGTAAATAAAAGAAGCTTTACTTTCAAGATAAACTCTTGTGTTTTTCAAGTAATTAAGACTTACTTCTGTATGACGGTGATTCGAATTTTTAACGCGCAACCAGTAAAAATACCCCATTTTAAGAGCCTGCTGACACATAAACAAGCACGGTGACCCCATTTTTTTATTGCACTTTTTTAATGTTCTCATCATGAATGTTAATTATGCCAAGTTTCAAAAAAAGTTTGAGAGCAGAACAATTTCAAGGGAACTACCTTAAGATGCAGGTCAATCATTTCCATCCTTCCTTCCACGTTTGGAATGACCGCCCTCTTTTCGCAGAAAAAAATTATAGGGTTAAAGGTAGTATTTTTCAACAAAATTCGACTTTTAATCATTTATATCTTCTAAAAACTAAATCAAGGAAGATCATTCCAAACGTAGCAGGGTACTTATTTTAAATTTGCATCGAAAACGCTCATTAATTGATCAATACAATTAAAATTCGCCGCCATTTCGCCGATTTACCAAATTTTAAGACAATAATATGTTAAGGCAAGGCAGGAATCCGCGTTTTATAATCAGGGAAAAGTTCAGCTTGGTGAAACGAATATAACAAAAGATGTAGCTGCCCAACCATAATTCCACGTTACATTCCTGACCCTGGCCTTAACCTACTTGAGCGTTCCTTCTGCTCACATGAACCCCTGTATAGTTTCATTGGTATTCACGTCATTCTGTCTTGTCCTTATTAAGTTATTCCTCGTTACGCTTCAGGATCAACTCAATTGAATAAGGCTGCAGTTTCAGTGTATGGGTGGCGGATTTCTCTTCACGAAGCAAAAATAGTACACGTAAAACAAGTAAACATTTACACCACAAGACCCAAGGAAGAAAAAGACGCGTCAATTTGACTGGTGTAATTTTAATTGCTATGACCATAATGTCCTACACTGACATGAGCCACCTTAGCGATAACAAAGGCAGGAATGGTAACAGACATACCAAGCTTTCACGCAACAATGCGACTAAGCTGTATATGGAATACTCCTAACAGTAGTGCAGCCAGTAAGATACAAATCACAACAAAGTCAAACTGTGTGCTTTGGCTATTTGCTTTGAAACGGAGAGCATTCTATCTGCAATGGTAATCTCTTTACCCCTTTCACTCACAAGATCTGAAAACTAATCCTCCTATAACTGATGACCATACAACGCTTTGTTGGCTATTTCTGAGAATCTGGTGTAATATCAAGACACTATCCCCATTACCATTATCATCGCCAGACTGCTTGACAGTGTATTAAAATTGTAAATTGTGAGGAAAACTAATACGTTGGTTACTCCTGGGAGTCAAAGGGTTTAATTGCTATTAACGTGAAAGCCTGGGTTACCCGTGAATAGTGCACCATCTAACTGACCTAGTAGCCACGCTGTCGTAACAGGACAGATCTCGCTCTTCAGGACATCTAGTGCCGAGCAAGGAGTGACGGCAAATATTGTAACATCACAAGCCATCGTCTGTTTTTCAGTAGTAAACTGGTGTTTTTGTATTATCCGGATAACAGCATTCAAATAAATATGTCAAAATCTTCCAAAATTTGACAGCTCTCACTGTCACCTCTGATAGGCTAACATCCTCGGAGACCCAGGGGCAGCTAGTCGGGACGACGCAATATTTTTGGGGGAAAGTTTACATCAAGAGCGGGATTCGCCCGAAAATATCACGTCCTCTCGACCAGCTTCCCCCGGGTCCCCGAGGATGATTGGCTAAATGCCCTCGAAGGAAAACTGATGAAAATACAACAGGTGCTTTTTGAACTTGGTCACAAGTAAGTGCTTGTTCTACCCTGTCAGAACAACGTGGCAACGTGTACTAAAACGTGACTAATGGTATCTACACACAAACAAATCTAAAATGCGATAAATTGCTAAAGCCAGCTCTTCGCCGTTGAGAAATTCAATTCAGTTTCTCGTCAACCACCTTAGCCCCAAGATTGAAATAGTAATTTTGATCTCTTATTAAATTTACATACAATTTTTAAATTCAGCTCTGAGAATTTGGCAGTACATCAAGACAACATCTTCTAATGTATTCTCATTACCTGTTTACTTATCAATGTACTGGTATTGTTAAGAGTATTTAAAAGCCGATCCGTCTTGGAAATGAAAAGGTTAACAGAGCCAGTGAATATAAACAATAATATTAATATTTTCTTGCAATTATTAACATTAAATTTCCTATAATTTGAAATATAATAAGGCTTGTTTTGGCAGTTACCTACTCTTCCACGATTCCCCAAAAAATGGAAAAGCCTAACTTCACGAATATTATCAGATGGCTATTTCATAGATTTACTTCAAATAACATTTCTCGATTCTAAGCATGGCTCTCCCTTGCAAAACAGCGCTGAAATCTCACATGCTATATAATGATGCAAACCGTACAATCTGCTAAAGTTGATTGCTACAGCGGCTTTCATTTGAGGGTCGAAAAATGATTGGTTTTGCATCAACTGCGCCACACGACTGGCTCAAAAAAACTCGCGCTACTCTTTCATCCAATCAGAAGTCAAACCAAAACCAATTGTGACTCACTAACACAGGTTTTCCCGCCCTTACTGTTAGCTACATGTAATTACTTCGAGCTTTGATTGGTTCATTGGATTGTCTATGTCCTTTGTGATTGGCTAAAGTGACTACTTTGGTTTTGGTTTTACGACACTCAATTGAAAAACGCTCTATAATTAGAAGTATAATAAATAACACCATATTGATTCAAAATTCAGCTAAACCAAACAACAAGCATTCCGGATAAAACGAAACTACAGTGTAACCTGGACAGCAATTTAAAGAGAGGCTGATTAAATTAAACCACGCAAAAAACAATAATTCTTTGCCTACCAGGCTTAACTAGTGCTCTGTCACGGAATACAAGCCACTGATTAAATCTTATCCTTAAGCAATGATGGATGGTTTACATAAAGAGAAAAAATAACAAATATTTTCCTAGTTCAGTGAACAACGCTTCTCTCGATTGCCTGCCTCTTCTAACCGACCAAACGTCGCAACATTTAATTTCTAGTTTTACAATTTAAACTGTCCGAACTCCCAAGGCAAATTTTCCAGTTCTCAGACACCCATGCCTAAGTGGACTTGATACCACAATATAATTCCAAATATGTTCCTAACAAATCACCTTTCCAAACAGTAAAACTGTAAAACATGTAAAACATTACAGTTCTAAAACTAATGTCCTTTTGATTTAGAAGACCTGTGTAGGTGTACACATACCCAATGGCCATTCTTTAACTGCCACACTCTTGTCTCCTCTGATTGGTCCGTTATAGGCTCTCCACTGCTACCAATACGCTGCGTCAAGCGCACGTAAGAGATGCACGCGGCTTCCGCGCTCAGAATGTGCACGTGCGGCGACAGAATCGTGGTGTTCGTGGGCGCGTTCCGTTGACGAAGCACATTATCGAAGTAAAACTTGTGAAACTCCACGCCTTCCACGAGATTTCCGTTTGCTTCTGGCTCAAACGCCGTCACGTGCGGGTCGACCAGCTTGCTGTAAGTGTCGAAGTCTTGCGTAGTTATACTGGTAATCAGTTGCTGTGTTAAACGGATTATTTCTTGTTCTTTCTGTGCCCTCCACTGCGGTTGCGCGCTTGCGGGCTGGGTGGCCGCTTCTGTTTCTTCAGGGTGCGTCGCCATCACATCTTCATCCGAACCCTTTTTCTTTCTCGAGCCACTAAAATTGTGCGTCGCTAACAACGTCGTCAAAATGGCGCCCTTGAGTTTTCGTCGCGCGTTGAACTTTCTCAGACCATCAAGTGTGGTTTGGCGATGAACTTTTGATGCGATTCGCTCGCGATTCTAAGAACGAAAATGGAGAGAGTAATTTTAACAATCTGATCGTTTGAATAGTGAGTTCAACTGCAGTCTCAAGTTAACTACATCAAAATGCAATTAAGGAGTAGTTTTAAGGGCTATTGAAATAAAACTAAACCTGATTAGATGGTCAAGTTCCTGTCTGCAACGCGAATAAACGCGCCGATTAACCGGAATGATTTTGTCGCCGGCCCGACCGAAAATAAGTAAAGAAAGCAATAAGTTCTTTATAGAACTAGTTTGCTTTCCCCGGCAGGTGCTCAAACAATACAAGACACTTAGTCAATCTCTTGACCACGATGCACTTGTCGCAATTAACAAGAAACTTGAAAAAGAACCACAAACCAGAAAAACTATCGTTTTTCGTCGATGCAGAATCCATTTTATGGCGTGAGTGGCCTCGAAAAAAGGAAAAACAAAAACGAAAAAAAGATGTCTTAATCGAGAAAGACTTTTGGACGATGCACTTGGCTCCTCCTATTAGTAAAACCATAAAACCAGTGGATTTCAAAATATCAGGTTCCAAGCAATATGCAAATATATAGGTAGAATTAAATACAGCGCAATTAGAATGCGAAAATGTTTCAAACTCGACGGCCGCAATATCACCGTGACACTTTATCTTGTCTTGAACTACCCCTTACTCAATGATTGTTGTCCTTTTCGTTATTTTCAGAGAGTTCTGTCCCATAACCGATATAATATAACTAGTTTATACGGCTGAGCTTTTACTGCTTAATATAGTGGACACAACGAAAAAGGAGGTTTCTCTTGATGCGGAAAAAAAATACAAGAGATAAAAATAGCACCACCGCTATTGGCTTGCTTTCATTGAGAAACTCAAAAAGGTTTTAAGACTTACTATCAAGACATTCTCGTAAACAAGTTAACGAAACCAAAATTCGAATTCTGAAGGAAAAAATGACATAAAATAAAATAAAACGCGTTATCAACGCCAAACACCGTCCATCTTTGTAAGGCGTTCGTTTGCGCTGTACAAGTTATTTTGATCTTCAAAGGTCGAAAAATAGCACTTGCGGTAAATGCAGTATGATGTATCACCTGCACACTCATGATAACAATCAGGTCATAACATGTAAACAAACCACGCACAAAACTCATTTTCAACACACGGGCTGACAGGTTGATATGCAGTAACCCTTGACATTCATGATAGCAGTCGGTTTCAGTCTTGGTCCGGGAGACCTTTCGACAACCGTAGTCATTTCAACGAGGTAAGACACCACGCATTTTTATGAGTTTATCGGTGCATCAACTATCATTGCACTGTAAACCACGCGCTTTTGATCGGTGATTTACCAAACTCTCTTCGAGTTCTTCCGAAATTCGAATGATTTTAAGTAAACTCAGACATTAAATGCGCGGTGTTTAACTTAAAGATGTCACCTTTGACAACCTGATGTCTTACAAGACCAAGCTTTATTTTATTCAATTAAGACGAAAACAAACAGATGAAAAGAAAAGCACCAACTGAAAAAAAAAAAGAAAAGAAAAAAACGCAGGAAGCACTCATTCAATCAACGACCACGAATAGAGTAATTCTTAGCCGGACGTTAGTTGAAAAAAAACATTCCAAACGTAAACTTCTCCATCCAATCGAAAACGCATGCCAAATCAAACTCTGATTGGACGATGCAAATCAGAAACATTATCCAATCAGCGGCCTTATCAGCCAATCTCATTCAAAACGCGCATTCTTTGCAAGGAGTGAGGCAAATGCTCCTTACTCTATGGGCGGTTCACTATGGAGGTCCACTAAAAACAGTGCCGATAAGAAATTAAATTCAAACAGAGAAGGCGTAATCCTATGATTAACGAGTACGTTCGGTGTCGGCCATGTTTAGAGAAGAGCTGGATAAGTGCCCAGGGGAGAAGACGGTGGAAAGGAAAAACGCACAGGCCAGTCGACAAGTGAAGCTGAACTTAATACCACACAGGTACAGTAGACAAAATTCTAAAGAGTTAACAAAGCTTATACAATGCAGCATTTACAGTACTTCAACTCTGAATAGGGACTTTTAGTAGTTTTACTTTTAGCACTTTTATTTTTTGAGAGTGGTCCGAGTCTAAAGATTTGCAAAAGTTTCATGTCTTTCACCATAAGCTTAAACTCATGAGCTTATCAATGGGTTTCTGCGTTCACTGATCTAATCAGCTTATATTGTTATAAGCTGCTTCCTCCTTTAACGAGTGAGCTTGCTGTTTGTGTTTTTGTTCTGATCAAACTCCTACACAGTCCGTTGTTTTCAAAAGAATCGTCTTGCTGGAGTAGCTAACTGATTGGGTTGTAGCCGTCTAGACAGCACATATTGATCGCCAACCATCTTGATTCGAAAAATAAGTTTTTTTTCATAAGCTTAAAGTTATTTCAAAAAGAAAGATAAGAGTCCTAACAACCAACCGCCACTTTAATATTGTATCTCTATCTTTGAACTCTTTCCTCTTGGAAAGCCTCTTATTGCACACCTTTCCATTCACAAGTGCTAAAGAAGTAGGACTGGTATGCTTTGAATAGTGTGTTGAAAACATAGCGGGGTGGGGGGGTGCTGGGCAATTTCCAAAATTCCTACACAGCAAAAACTGCTGAATAAAAAATCGTGCAAGGGGAGCCATCGAAAAACATCAAGCAAGTGCTTTCTACTTTCCAGATCCTGCTTTTTGATGTTAAAACATTTTGGCAAAAGCTTTTGCTCACCCCAAAAAATCATGCACAACCTAAGTTGAGAAAACAAAATCCTAGCCCCAGAAAATTGCACACTCCCTCCCTCAAAAAATTAATAATCTGTCCATAAGTAACTCAACATCATTCAATCAGACGTAATCAGTTCCGTCATGACCATGATAACATGTCAAAAATAACTCTTTATAATGACAAAAGACCACCTTTGAAGACAGAAATTTGGTAAACTACTAAAAGACATGATTCAAATTCACGACAAAATGTTCCATGCTGACAGAACAACATTACAGAGTTAAGCAATAGAGCACTTTTTCTGTGTTTACATAGCATCATCTAAAGACAAGGAGGGTTGGGAGAATTCGAGACAGTTATGCAAACCCTCAACTACCGGTATGTCTCAGGTTTGTATAACTTTCCAGAATTCTCCCAGCCCCCAAGTGTTTAGATGAGGTTATGAACACATGGAAAAAGTGTTCTATTGCTTTTATACAGTAATTCTCAAAAATATGCTTGAATCTAAAATGTCACAATCGTGTTTACGTACTCTCATCTAAACACACCTATTGACCAATGAGAGCACGCATAGTATCTCAGTTATTTTATAATTCCATGTCTCTAACTTGCTAAACCAATCTTAACACCGTACTGAACTCCACAATGAAACATCATCTGATGACTCCCCCTTGGGGGGGGGGGCTTGTAATTTTAAGACTGTTTCGGGGGGGTATTAGAGAGGGAGGACTCAAAAGAAAGGGGGCGGACTTCCTAATTTACGCCAAAACACCAACAGGTTATTAGCTTTACTTCTCCATCTTTTGTACAGTAAGTAAGTGACTACATGCTGAAACAATAGAGGCTCATGTTACTTGACCATAAAGCTATCTACCTCAGTCTCAGTGTTACAAATGTACTGTACACTCTTTCTCTAGTCACAAACTGACAGGGGTTTCATTAAGGGCCAGGCACTGAGAAAATTGACCTGTTTTGAGGAGGATTTTGCCTACCCAGTTAGACCATCTAGAGAAAAGTGTTTCTTATATTAGAAGTTCTCTTCAAATAGTTTTTCCTGCCTGTAAAAGCTAGTTGCCCTTTAGCTGAATACATTAATGAAACCCCTGCAAACGATCTTAAAATTTTAAATTATTCACGGTGTTTATCAAATGAACATTGTAGGGCAATATGAAGCTGAATTCTTGAGGGATCACTTTCCAGAGATTAAAAGCAAAGGAAAAGACCACTTGGTAATTCCCAAAGATGGTCACAGTCATATTTGGGAGCGGTTCCTTACAAAGAGTTTTTAATATCACAGAATCTGAGTGACATTTTAAATGGGTTTCAAAATGGTGACCATAACTTATAAACTGGTCAGAGTTGAGATTGGTCTCAAGCAAAACTTGAACTGTATTCAGACAACACAATAATAACATACCAAAATCCACGAATGTTTGAGAGCATCTGAAACATTAATCCTTTTATTTTGGTCTACAGTGAGCATTTTCTTGATTAGGTCTTTTGCCTCCTCTGTCACACTATCCCATTCTGGTGACGGAAACTACAAAGAAAAACATACAAATATAAACTGGGTTAAAATTACTGTACCAGCATAGAGAACACTGACAAAAAAATTGCAATCAATAAAATATATTTTTTAAAAACAGTTAATTGTACAAGCTCTGTTATTTTGAGAAGCTGATTTTACATTAATTACCGGTATTTATCATGTATTTAACCTTCTTTCAATGGGCCAGAAAGGTTAAAAAATCCTGAGATTAACTTTTAAAACATAATCACTGAATGAGCATTAATGTGCCAGCCAAAAGAGCATGAAGTGAGGAAAATATTTTGTCACAATGTACAGTATCCAAGGGTGAGACCGAGTAGTAATAACCATTTTATTGCACTGTGGCTAGCAGTTTTGAAGTGTCTTAATTAAAATCCGGATGTTCTCCTCTTGTTGGTGTCAGTTAGAGATATCTGGGGTATATACCTCAGAGAAAATAATATTTTGGGGCAGAGATTTTATAACAGTTTGAGTTATCAGGGTTTTACAGATACTTGAGCGTCAAGATATTGAGGGTAAAATTAGTGATATACTGACCCACATTTATGGGATTTGGTCTGAAGTTTGAGGTAATTGGAAGTTCAAGATTTCAGGGTTATTCCAGAGATACCACAATGATGATATAAATTATTCCATGATGAGGAACATACTAACAGTCATGTAGCAAAAACAGCATGCAAATTTTGCATAGTGAATCCATCCCACTTCACAATAGTCACAGAAAACTACTCAGAGAGTGGCAAAGGGGAATTTTTCTATTAAATCATGCATCACAGAGAATTTTTTCACCAATCACGTGTCACATAAAAGAGTACTGTAAGTACATTGCCAATTTTACTTTCTCAACTCTAAAAGTGGTGTTAGAAGGAGAACTCTGCCGATTCAACCACAGAAATGCATTGGCAAATATTCCAAACATTTTCTCCTGAACTGATGACAATATTATTGTTGGCCAAAATAGAAGTGGTGACTAGTACGGGAGACCAGGGGATTCACTCTGTACTGTGTATCCAGGAGGCTCCTGGATAATCAGGGAGAGTGGACACCGTTTGTGAACAGGCTCCTGAGGAGTGTGAAAAAAAAAACAAAATAGAGCAAGCGAAGTGAGCCTAGCAGGGTTGGATCTTTCCCTCTCCAGACCACTCTTGCCTACCTCCAGCCAGGGTAACTTGGCAGAGATCTTGTATACACATTGAGAACACCCCTACGCCACCTTTGCCATGCTTTGATATACAGGCAATATTTGTGTCAAAGCTTTACCCCTGCAAATCCTCTACTGTGCGACAACGTTTTTTTCCTCTGTGAATGACATAACATAGCTTTTGAATTTGGTTAGGTCTTTATGACGACCTTTGTTAAGTGGTACATAAACTTTTTCCTTGTGTAGTCCCTCACTGCTTACACAACTGTCTTCTTGAGTGGCATAAGATGACACCACACTCTAACGTCTCTTATCATTTCAGCCATTTGGGATGACATTGTTTCAAATGATAGCCAGATTCGGATGTGGCCCGATGCACTGCCAAAAATGATCGGTCGACAAAAATTTATGGACAAAAATATCACTGAAGCTCATAGTCCTTGTGCAAAGTTTAACTATTTTCAATTGACTTAATCCTGTTATGTCAGGATTGTTTGGACCTATAGAACCATGAAGATCCACAAAGATCAAAGACAGCAGAGGTCAAGAAAAGGACGAAAAAGACCAGAAATTGGTGTCATGTCTGCAATTTATTGGTCTTTTTTTAAGACTATATTTACTATTTACTTTGAATGAATGGTATCCTTCTACAGTCAGACCTACCATAAGCGATGTCAAGCCTCAGTAGTTGCTTACGAGAGGCTCCCTATAGTGATTTGACTTGGAAACTTTTGATCTGGTCGCTGAGGAGAGGTGGTCGCTTACGAGAGTTGGTCGCAACTGGAGGTTCAACTGTAGTTCAAAGAACATTCACTTATCACGGAAATCTAATTGGTAAATCACGCATCACATACTTGTAAAATAGCAATCACGCATCATGTTATGATGTCCTGTCAAGCATCACACAACTAATTTGGTCTCAATCACGTGTCATGCTGCTAATTTTGGGACGATCATGTGTCACGCAAAAACCCTTTGCCATCCACTGCTCAGTTGATGTAATTTAAAATTACAAAAAACACAGTCCCAAAATTGTGTCTTTAAAGTATAATTTTTTGTGAGAAAATATGGTCCACAAAACTTTGTAAGTAAAAGAAAATTGGTTCCACATTCCAAAAGCAAGTCAGCTGACAAGTGATTGAGGGAAAACTATTCACACCTAATCATTTAACTGGGGTTTCATTAAGGTTTTAGCAGGACGGCGACTAGTTTTCACAGGCGGGCAAAACAATTTGAACTGCACTTCTTTATAACAAAAGTTTTACTCTAGATGGTCAAACCAGGTGAGCAAAATCATCTTCACAGCCGGTCAATTTGCCCCGTGCTGGGCCCTTAACCCATTGACACCTAGAACTTTTCGCCAAAAATGCACTTTTGGTCATTTTGGATGTTTTTAGCCTGGACATGAGCTAAATTGGCTCCAATCTTCTTAAAAAGCCATTGGCAACAAGACAGCACACCTTTCTTTCCACTAGCATCATCAAAATTTCTATTCTAAAAGGTATTGGCAACAAGACAGCAACCCTTTCTTTCCACTAGCATTTTGCTTCATGACATTTTTGCTCAGGCATGTGCATAAATCAAAATTTTGAGTTTTTGGACAAGAAAGTGACCTACATCTTTAGGGATTTTTTTTAAATTCAATTTTTGTTTTGCCTTTTCTTTTTCTCCTTATCTTATCTTTTTGTTGCTTGGGCTTGCTTTCACTTCAAGAATTCCCAAGAAAGCATCATCAAGATGGGGAATTCTTACCATGGAGTAGCCATGCACATGTCATGGAGGGAAATTTTGCTCTGAGTTTTTCACTCTTATTTTTAAACATTTGTGTGCGTATTTCAGGCTCAATTGACCCCATCACCTCAATCTGGGTATCACTGGAAAGATATTTTCTTCTTGAAAAGAAAAGTATAATTTTGGTCAGAGGTGATGACATCAGAAGTGGAACAAGGGCCAATGCTTGTCATGGCTGGCACAGGCATCAAAGGGTTAATGAAGCCCCTGCCTTATACAGAAGTACTAAAAGAATCAACTTTTCAGTTCTACAAGTTAAGGCAATAATCTGAAAAGATAGAGAAATCCTTTTGAGGTTGCAAGAGGTTTGCTTTCGAGTTATCAAGGATTTGAGTTACCAAGGTAAAATTACAGTAAATGTGGGAAGCTAATCCAGTGGAAAACACCCTCCTTAAATCTAGCTAGTAACCTGAAAACAAATTTGTTGCCTCTTAATGATTTTTTATTTTTTATTTTTTCTACCTATTAAAATAGTCCTTTATAAAATGTGATGTGGAAATGCATCTTATAGCTACCTCATTAATATGGCCATCTCAATATCAATCTCATTCAAGTACCACTGGGGTAGAAAACTCTTTGCCTATCTGACAAACTTTTTTGACATTCATGATAAAGGCCAAAAATAATTTCAAACTGCTTTTTTTTTTTGCAAGCAAGCATTGCCTAATTAAAACTCACAGCCACTGTCAGTATGTTGGCAATACCCACAGCTTTTACATATTTTATAAAAAAGAGAAAAGAAGCCATCTGTTAGGAGAAATTGGACACACTATATAAGGGCAATGTGTAATGAATTCTTTCTAATATTGATCATGTCCCTCTGACAACTGAGATAATTATGAAATTGAACTTTATAGAAGCACAAGGGAAAATGCCATTTCATTTCCCAAGGATTAAGGTCTAAGAAAATATATACTTTTGAAGGGTTTTCTCTTGAAGTCTTCATGTAAAAGTATATGCCAACTTGAGGCAGTCAATTGAGGTATACTGATACTCTGTAACAGTATACCTTGTCTGGCCTGGACTTATATTTTTTTCAGTTATGTAATTCGATCAGTATCATTCTAATGTCTATACTATTATCATGACAGCCTGAACTTCTCAGGCAACTGGCAGACAAATTCACCAGAAAGAACATTACTATATTTCAAGAGAAAACATTTTGAATGAATGGTCTTGAAGGTGAGCAGTTTAATCTAAATCTGAGTTCCTTTTGCTCTAGTTCATTACTGCTTTAATATTCTTTTTGTCTACTTCCATTTGTATTTTCTTCCATAATAATAAAAATTAATTGGTGTATCTACAGTTTAGTGTATAAAACCTCTCATTCAGCAATTTTTTTCTTTGGGCAGTTATTTTTTTATAGATCTCCTACTATTGAAGAGTTTCCTGGAGAAAATGCGGATTGGGAAATTTAGTGACTGTGTCAGTTCAAAGAAATTATTCAAAATTTTGCAACAAATTATCACTTTCTTTAAAATTAAAGGAAACTAACATTGCTTAAAATTACAATTTCTATCTGGATCAGTAATGAAGGGGCTTTTCTATACAATAATTTCTACTCAATAAGACTAATTGCTAAGACCTAATATTTGCTAGGAGATAATGAGTCACATTCAAATAGTACAAGCAGTTCTTAAGGTTTGGTTTCAAGAGAATATTGGTTTATTATTGAATGATTTTGAAATTTATTGAGCCAAAATGAATGGTGGCATAACAATCAACCTGTGACACACATTATGGTAACACACCAACATGTACCATCTTCAACCTGCATCTGATTTTAATTACAACACTGACATGTCATTCTTATTTTGGCTGAGCAGGAAAATGTTTTAAAAACAGTTCATTTTGTGGCAAAATAATTTAAGCAACTCTGCACAAACTGTAAAAAGAAAAGTAAATAAAGGATAAGTAAAAAATATGTTGTGAACATGTACAAGAACACTCAAGAGCTCTCCGTCATGTCCTTGTTGCTCCTTTGTGTAAGTAACAATGAAGCAAAGTTTCCAAGTGGAGGGTTTCTTTTTCTTTCTGACTAAAATAGAAAAAAATATCTTGATACATAACCAAAACGTTTAACTACGAATTTAGATGCCAGCAATTAAGTTGCAGGAAATGGGTTTCCAAGAAATCTACAGTTCTTGCTAACCTTTTTCAACACAAACTCAAAGTTCGATGGCATCTTATTATGAATAATAAGGTTGGAGCTACAATTATGATGTATTGCTCATAAATATCCTTCTGATGCCCTCACATCATTGGTCGAGCAGTGTACAGGTTTTTACATATGTCACATTACAGATTTGGAACTGAAACAAGTTTAAACTCACACTCGAAATCTTTGTTCAGCGTGGAACAAAGAAAAACAAAAGATTAAAGAGAGCATGAGACAAACAGATCAGTTATATTGTCATCAAATGTTCGCTTTTTGTGCTTATCCGAAATTCTCACATTATCGGCCTAAATATTTGAAATTTGAAATTTGATAGCGGTTGGCCATTTATTTTTCAAGAGCTAACATTTTACTCAGGGAGGCATTCCCGAAATTAATTTCGGAAGCATTTCAGCGTATTTAATTTCAATAGCAAAATTGAAAACTAAAGGGTTTCAGTTACCTAGCAAACATATGTTCCTTCGCTTGTAATTTTTATTCTTACTCTGATATCGATGGCAGGTGTTCAGACACAAAGAATAATAGCTCCTCAATTACGGCAAGAAACCACCAGATAGGAGAATCCCACAAAACAATTTGTCCCTTTGATATTCATGTTAACCGAGTGCTGTAGGTTAAGACTCCATGGTGAGTAAAGGATCATTAGCGAAAATGATAAACGAAGAAAAGTCCTGCTCTGGCAAACAGAAACAAATGTCAATCACGAATCGCTCAGAAAGTAAAGAAAAAACATGGACAATTATGAAAGAAATCGGAGACCGATTTAAGTCCTAAATAAACGAAAGCCCAGTTCTTCATATAGGCGCTAAACCAATGGTCAAATAAAGAACGGTCTGAATTAATTTTTTGGCTAGGCTTTGAGATACAGTGTTTACGATCATTCGTTCTCTGAAAATAAACAAAGAACTGGTAACTTGTTCGAACCACGGACATCAATTCTTGCAAGTGAAATGAAAAAAATAAACCAAAACATCTAGTGTTTATTTACTTACGTCGTACGCCCCAGCTTTGATCTGGCTGTATAGTTTCTGCTGATCTTCGTCCCAAAACGGAGGATAACCGACCAGAAGAATATAAAGAATAACTCCACAGGCCCACAAATCTACAGCTTTGTTGTACGGTTCCTTCTTCAAGACCTCTGGAGACAAATAACCCGGCGTCCCAGCGAAACCAAACCAGCCCAATTTATCGTTATCCACTTCGATCGCCAGTCCAAAGTCGGCTAGCTTGCATATAGCTGATTTTTCTTTGCTGGAAAGAAGCAGATTTTCAGGTTTGAGGTCTCTGTGCACAATACTGTTATCGTGACAATGTTGAACGCTCTGCAACACTTGCTGTATACAGTGCGAAGCGTCCGCCTCGCTGTAATACTCCCGAGCTACGATCTCCTCAAAAAGTTCTCCTCCAGTGACGAGATCAAATACTAAATAATAAAAACCTTCTTCTAAGATGCTAGAGTGAAGACGGACGATATTCGGGTGTTTTAGACCTCGGCAAATTCGAGCTTCTCGCTCAACCTTCTGGATGTCGCGCGAGGTCATCTTACGCGTGTCGAGAATTTTCACAGCAAATTCCACTTTTCCTTCCTTCAGAACACATTTGCGAACTATACTAAAGGCACCTCTTCCAAGTTCTTCTTTGATATCATACATATCGTGAAAAGGTCTCGCCGAAGCCGCCATTTTCACCGTGATCTGGTGATCTTTCGATTCCAAATAGATTGGAACTCAAGAGAAGGGCCTGGGTGCAGCGTGCACCTTCCCGGATATGAACTGTCTAAATTACTTCCGCTCTGTTCACAAAGCGAAAGTCGCGAATCACCGAGAAAAAAAAATAATGAAATATTTCCCGTTATCCTCAACACTGCGGCCAATAACTGTTTGAGGTGAAAAAAAGAAGAGCTTTCGGTTCCCAAATGTTGCGTTTAAAACCTAACCATACGGAGGCTATTTTACCTTCAGCCACGAGCACTCACTCACTCAAATGAGTCCTCACCGTCCTCTATGTCATGATGGACTCCAAGAAAGAAAATTATCGTGCTCTTTGTAATTTTCGCAGTAATACTGCCCTAATATCAGAAATGTGGTGATTGTCACCCATAGTTATGATTTTGGTGGACTAAAACAGTTCTCTTTTATGTAAAACTTCATTTTTAGAAATTATCCTTGTCCAAAAATTAATTCCTTCCCTTCTGCTGGGTGGACTTACGTTGCAATTTTTAAAATTAACTCTGATCCAACATAAACGTTTGGTTGTGGCGTCTCGTCCAACAAACCATATTATCTTTATTTCACAAGTCTAGAGTAATTTACACGTCGTGTTGGGTCTTCACATAGGAAACACTGTAATACAGGAAGGAAATTTCCCTCAAAATAAATGCGAGTCTATATTTAGCTCTCGCCCTATACTTGCTCGCAATATCTTTTCCTTATATGGGTTTTGTCTTTTCTGACCCGTCTATATAATGGAAATATATAATCAACACACGGCACAATTCATAAATCCTTCGATGAAAGTGTCAAAATATGACTTCCTGACATTCAGTCTGCAATCGGTATTAATAATGTACCAGTTGACCAATTTGATGAATTTTGTAAATTAAATTGAAAAACACCCTTTTATATTGAAATGAATTTGCTGTTTGTCTATACCGGCCACGCTAAAAGATGCCTCGGAAGATTAAAAACTATGTTTCCTATAAAATGTATTTGCACTATTCATTTTCCCCATCCCCGAGAAAACGGCTTCAACTTTTAAACACCTAAATATATGAGGTATTAATTAAACAAGAAACGCGCCAAAATGCAATTTGGTTCATCTGAATATTTGCAGTACCTAATAGTGGACTTCTTCCAAAAATAAACGCCGTAGTAGACGACTAGTCTCGTAAAACGATTGAAAGTTTTCCAGTTTTAGGTTTTTCAGATAGTAACTGACAATTTCAGTATTTATGCAACTACCTTTAAGGGAGGAAAGAAAGGACTGGGGTTAAGTACACCTAATATAATGCGATCACCTGTACCTGACTCGTACCCAGATCCTACCT